TATTTGTTTCAATAGTACCTATGGTTTTAATTTCCCTAAACAGTAGCCCCCCCTTATCCTTGGGGAATATGTTTCAGGACCCCCAGTGGTTGCCTGAAACTGCAGAGAGGACCAAATCCTATATATACTATGTTTTTTCCTATGCATACATACTTACGATAGTTTAATTTATAAATTAGGCATAGTAAGAGATTAACAACAATAACTAATAATAAAATAGAACACTTTAAACAATATACGGTAGTAAAAGTCACGTGAATGTGATGTCTCTATTTCTGGAATATTCCATTTAATATTTTCTGACTTTGGTTGACTGTGGGTAGCTGAAACAGGAAATTGAAACCTTGGATAAGGGGGGGACACTGCATTTCTAAACCCACATATGCATTACAATTCAGGTATAAATAACTCATTCTTTTAATTCTAGAAGTGTTAATGTAGGTCCTCTCCCTCAGTTTTTTTTAATAGCTTCATTATCATCACTTATTTTTGTTTTGTACCAGAAAGTAGAAATCTATGGGCTAGATGGGGCTGGAGGTCTTTGCCCAGGTGGTTTTCATCAAAAAAAAAAAACCTTTGAAAATTACTATTTCCTTAAGGAAGTTGTAATTTGACAGTTTTAATCAAAAGACTTGTTAATCTAATTGATGACATTTTAACCTAGTAAAGTAGGTGTAGTCGCACAAGGTGAGGTATCTCAGTTTATCAATACTTTAATTATTTAACAAACACTTGAGTGCTTTCTCTTACTATATAGGACTCATAAGATTTTTTTAATCTTCAAACCTTTTCTCACTTGTTTCTAAAAGATCTAAGGTTCCACAGTCATTTTTCTTACCTTTTTCCCCCTGTGTCATTTTGAAATTCTTTTATTTGAATTTTTACATTAAAAAGTTCTTTAAGTTAAATCTCATTCACAACTTGGCAAGGTTTAATTTGAGCTCGAAAGTGTTACAGCTCTTTTAGAATTTGTCTAGCAGGTTTTCCGAGTCCTCACCGTAAGACCCAAAAAAATAAATAATTTGAGCTTAAAGTTCCTTGAAGCTCTATTTTCCTACAAATAATTGTAAATTCTTACCAGTTTTTTTAAGTGAGTCTCCTTAGACAGCTTTGTTAGCCTGTTTTATGTTTTATGTATTCATATTTAAGTTTTTTAAAATATCATCTACATATTTCATATTTTACTAATTGTTTAGCTTTTCTTCCCATTAATCTGAATTAGGGAAAATGTTGCTTTGTATTCACATGTAAACTGAGCATTTATATACAGTTCCTCTCTTCAAAGAGCTTTCCAAATAGCAGAAGGAATTGTTTACCCACATAATTAAAAGTCTATATGTTATAATTTTCTAGTGAGTGATATAACCGCTACTAAAATGGCCCCTTTTTTAACGTTCTAGGGCAAAGAAAAAGGTGATTCCTGCACCTAAACCCAAAGTAAAAGTAAGTATTCAATCACATCTTTAATTAGTCATAATTGGTGAATGTTGAAATACATTCTTAAGATGAAAAGAATATATGATATTTAGCAAAGATCAATAGGTACTATAAGATGGGTGTTTTCAACTTTATAAGAATCCTATGGCCTTTGTATTTGGGAGAATAGATGACTGTGTAGCAGTGGAAAATTTGCGTACATTGATTAAATTGTAAAGCTTAACTTAATTCTACTTAGAAATGCTAGATAAAATATAACAAATATCCTTTAAAAGCATAGCTGAGACCACAATTATGAAAGAGGCCAAAAACAAAGAAAGAGCCAACAGAGTGTTAATTTGTTGCTTAAAATTTGGTTGCCTTTGGGGACATTTACCACTTTCTATTCATCACCTTTTTACATTTCTTCTTAAAGCATAACAGATGAGATTTTCTTGGGCTTGTATAGGTCAGAAATTGGAATGAAACTTGCGTAAAGCTGGGTCCTCAAAGGGTAACATCTTTAGTAAAAGAAAAGACTAGAAAAAAAATCTACCCACCAGCAGAAAGATTAAGAAAAGTGCCTTTTTGGCCTGGATTCTGGATTGGAGGAAGAGATTCTTCCCTGAAAAATTTCCCTGGTTTAGAAGTTTAATTTATACTACCTGTACAATCTGGGAAAACTCCAAGCTGAGACAGTAACTTAAAGTTATCAGATTGATAATAACCCAGGGCAATTGGCAAAAGCAAATTCTCCCTGGTGTAATGTGCTCTCTTCCTAGGCCTCAAAGGCTTACCACCTGTAATCCATGTCAGACCTGAGTTTACGGTCTGGAATACAGAGTACATGAGCAAAGAAGTTGTGAGTGAGTGAGAGTAACTCACTCAAAATAAACAACAGAATTAGTCCCTAAGAAAGACATACGGTGGATTTGTTGGGTTTAGAACATAAAATAATTTTACTTAAATGTTTTAATTATGTAATGAAGTGGAAGAGGGAGTAAAAAATATCCTGTAAAAATAAACAAAGTAGATTTGAAAGAGAACCAAATATAACTTCTAGAAATAAAATCCGTAATCATTTGAAATTAAAATTTTAATGAAAGCGCACACTCTTTAGGTTTTAGACTTTTCTCCATAGCTTTCACCTCTTTGAATACATGAGTTTCTTTGCTTGTGAGGTTTTGGCCAGGTTAGTATTCTTTTCTCTGTGGCCTTCCGAACTTTTGGTGTTAGAGCCTCTTTAAGTACAGAGTAAATAGTTCTTAGTAACCTACTTTGTCTTCTAATCCAGATAATAGCCAATCTTTCATTAAATCTGTTGAGTTTGGACTTTGTCACTCGACTTCATTTTTGTTAGAATATTAAACTCTTAATACCCTTCATAAAGGATTGGTTAGATTTTGATACATCTATTCAAACATATGATTAATAAAATAATCGGGTAGGAAATTTATCAGAATTCTAATGGATGTATTTGGATGATATGGAGGAATCAACAGTTTTTCTCGTTTGTTTGCTTCTCAGTGATTAAACTTTTTCCTTTTCCAAAAATGGAAAAGCTTTATTGATGTTTCATTTTCTACCCTTACCCCTGCCATACTTTTTTTTAGTTATAAAGGTAATATAAGGAAATGCTTATAGTAGAAAATACAAAAAATACAGAAACAAGGAGAAACGTAAAAGTATCCAGAAATTTCTCCTCACTGAGAGCAAAAAAGCTCTTGACTTTCTGGTGCACATCCACCTTCTCTTCTCTGGATCTCTGTTCCTCCCTCCTTTCCACCCATCCATTCATCCATCCATCCAACCATCCATTCATTTATTGAATTAACATTCCATATAAATAAGATAACCTGCTTTTTTGACTCAATTATATATCATGAACAATTTTCTCTGCCAATATAAATCTATACAGTATTCTATTGGGTTTATCTAATGTTATTTTTACAAAGAAAAAATTAATAATAAAAAGTTATTTAGAACAGCAGTTTTATACTAGTAATACTTCTGGTATTGTTCTGATACATTTACTCACCCTCAGTTCTATACTTTTTACAATGATGGAATTTTCGGTGATCATGTAATTGTATGGTGTGTCAAAGCAAACGTGTGTCTTATCTGTGTTATCCATTCATTTTAGTAGACAATTGTGACCTAAATGTAATTAAGCCACACGCTTCTGATAGGCACTGAGGTTTTTAATCAGGGGTTTTAGAATAAAAGCTTAGAGAAACTGCTTAGGAAGTTAGAGTGTAACAACATTCTTAACAGCTTACTTACTGTAATACCTTAGGAGGTGATGGTAAAGACCCTTCCTTTCCATTCTTTCCCCACTATGCTTAAGGTAAGTGCTATAGTTATATAAATCCATATACAATAAAACATTCTGGGTTTGGGTTTATTTGGGTTTGTTTGTTTTTAAGAAACCAACTGAAGAGATTGTGAAATGACTTTTATGTAATAGTTTTTTTCTTAATCTTAAAAATGGGCCGGGCATGGTGGCTCACGCCTATAATCCTAGCATTCTGGGAGGCTGAGGCAGGCAGATCGTTTGAGCTCAGGAGTTCGAGACCAGCCTGAGCAAGAGCAAGACCCCATCTCTACTAAAAAATAGAAATTAACTGGACAACTAAAAATATATATGTATAAAATTGGCCGGGCATGGTGGCGCATGCCTGTAGTCCCAGCTACCCGGGAGGCTGAGGCAGGAGGATTGCTTGAGCCCAGGAGTTTGAGGTTGCTGTGAGCTAGGCTGACGCCATGGCACTCTAGCCTGGGCAACAGAGTGAGACTCTGTTTCAAAAAAATAAATAAATAAAAATAAACAAACAAACAAAGAAAGAAAGAAAAAACACCAAAATGAGTCAAATACTTTATATTTTTCTTAAAAAGAAACAGTTGCTTTTTAATTCTCTTGCTCTTTAAATATTATAAACTATTCTCTAATTCTCATCTCTTCCTTGAATTTTAGGTTTTTTTTTTTTTTTGAGAAAACTCTTAGGTATTGAGAGTTTTAATTCTTAATACCTTGTTTTCTTAGCATAGAGCCTTGCTCATAGTGGACACTTAGTAAATATATGTTGAATAAATTACAAATGAGTAATTTACAAATAAATTACAAATCCATCTAATGAATGAAAAACATAATTTAAGTATGCTTGGATTGAATCATCTGCCAGTTTGATGTGCCACTTTCTCTATGTACTAGCTATGGGTAGCTGCAGGACAGAGAATGCAAGGAAGTATAAAGTGAGGGTCAGCATCCTAGCACACCACAGTAAACGAGAGGGAGGAGTCTTAACATAATGGCAGAATTTCTCCTGAGTATAAGGAGAATAAAAAGAGAATAATGTTTGAATAGATGGATTTGGAATAGGATTTGAAGATCTGATACAGGTGGTGGAGGGTCTCATTGGTAATGTAACTAGAGTGTTAATGTTCTTTCCACTTGGTTTTAAGCCCTTTTCTTATACATTTGTTCATTGGAGAGAAAATGTTAAAAAAAAAAAAAAAAGCCCTATTCTTAGAATGGCTCACCACAGTATGGCAGCTGTGTGCAGTATCAGTCAGGACCTCTGTCCAGTCAAAAATTGTTTTGGTTTTGATAGTCTCTAAGATTTCCAGTAAACAATTTTAATTATGAGAATTTTTTAGTTCTTTAAAATTAACTTTGTAGTTTTTTATTAAACATTTCTGTTTTTTCTAATATCATGCTGCTTGTGCTAGGAATGTAGTCCAAAAAAGGACCAGAAAACTCCTGCGTCCTTGGTGGCTTCAGTTGGTGGTCCTCCAACGAGCTCTAGCACATCTGCTGTTGCTGCAGCCAGCTCTAGCTCCGCACCAGCCCAAGAAACCATCTGCCTTGATGACTCGCTGGATGAAGAACTTTCTTTCCATTCACCTTCACTGGATCTTGTTTCTGAAGCTTTAGCTGTTATCAACAATGGGAACAAGGGCCCTCCGATTGGCTCAAGGATAAGCATGCCAACTACAAAACCTCGTCCAGGACTGAGAGAAGAAAAATTAGCAAGTATCATGAGTAAGCTGCCACTGGCTACTCCTAAAAAACTAGATTCTACTCAGACTGCACATTCTTCAAGTCTTATTGCTGGTCACACAGGGCCAGTACCAAAGAAACCCCAGGATTTAGCTCATACTGGCATCTCTTCAGGCCTTATTGCTGGTTCTTCAATTCAGAACCCTAAAGTTTCTTTAGAACCATTGCCAGCCAGGCTACTTCAGCAAGGACTACAGAGGTCAAGCCAGATTCATGCTTCTTCCTCTTCACAGACTCACGTCTCCTCCTCATCCCAAGCCCAAATTGCTGCCTCCTCTCATACTCTGGGAACTTCTGAGGCCCAAGATGCTTGTTCGTTAACACAAGTAACAAAGGTGCACCAGCATTCAGCTGTCCAACAGAACTATGTGTCTCCATTACAAGCAACCATTAGTAAATCACAGACCAACCCAGTGGTGAAATTAAGTAATAATCCCCAACTTTCCTGTTCATCCCCACTTCTTAAGACTTCAGATAAGCCACTTATGTACCGCCTTCCCTTATCTGCCCCCTCATCTGGAAATGGTTCTCAAGGGTCCCACCCCCTGGTTTCTAGGACAGCACCTAGCACCACTACCTCCAGTAACTACTTAGCCAAGGCTATGGTGTCACAAATCTCCACGCAGGGTTTCAAATCTCCCTTCTCAATGGCTGCATCCCCCAAACTTGCCGCATCTCCCAAGCCTGCAACATCCCCTAAACCCTTGCCCTCACCTAAGCCTTCTGCTTCACCTAAGCCCTCTCTATCAGCAAAGCCTTCAGTATCATCTAAACTTATTTCTAAATCCAACCCAACTCCCAAGCCTACTGTAGCCCCAAGTTCTTCCAGTCCAAATGCGCTAGTAGCCCAGAGTAGCCACCCCAACAGTAACAACCTAGTCCATAAACAGCCCAGTGGAATAAACATCAGCAGACAGTCTCCCACCTTGAATTTATTGCCCACTAATCGCACATCAGGCCTTCCATCTACAAAAAGTCTCCAGGCCCCTTCAAAGCTAACAAACTCATCATCCACTGGAACTGTTGGGAAGAACAGCTTGAGTGGAATTGCAATGAATGTACCTGCCAGCAGAGGTAGCAACCTTAACTCAAGCGGAACTAAAAGGACTAGTCTATCTGGGGGAACAGGAAGTGGAACACAGGGTGCTACTAAACCGTTGTCTACTCCACATAGACCATCCTCTGCCTCAGGGTCCTCAGCGGTAACAGCCAGTGTGCAGGTATGTATGTTCTATGTGTTCGTGTGATAAAATGTAAGGTTTTATAATCTTTCTTGTGAGTCACTTTAATAAGATTATTATAATATACAGATTGTTTATCAATAGGCTTATTACAGCCTATGGCCATGGAATGTTCGTGATGTTGATACCACAGTGGCAGTTGAGTGCACTGTGGATGAGGTTTTTTTTTTGGGATATGAATTTCTTTTCCCCAGCAAAGGATCACATGCTTACTTAAAAATTTTTTTAAAACACAACTAAAATACATATTTAAAACTGTATCTCTTACGAAAGTCCAGAACAAAGTATTAATTTATGAATTTAACATACATTCACTTGTCTCTTCCCTTTTTCTCCTGCCAGCTTTCTTATTTATTTAACCAATTTATACATTCATGTTTTTTCTTAAACCATTTATTTTCTCAAATAAAATTTTTATTTTGCATTGATCTTATATTTATGTATAATTCTCTGTGTCAAGTTAGTGTTAGTAGTCCTTTTATACCACAATTTCCCCATTCATGAGTTTTTAATTTAAATTATCTCTCAATTAGCCAAGTGCCTCACTCAAGGAATCTTTTCAAGAAGGGTAACACAAATGTTATTTTACCTTAGCTGATACATACCTGGTAATTTCTTTCTGTGCTGTCACATTTGAGTAGGTATAGTCTTCTTGGGTCACTAACTTGTCTACTCGAAATTTTATAAATACGGCTCCACTGATCCTTGCTTAGTATTTGGGATTATAGAGAAGTCTGAGGCCATTCTGGTTTTTTGTTCCCTTATAAGATGCATTTTCTTTGCCTAAATGCTAGTAGGATTTTCTTTTTTCCTTGAAATTCAAGTATCCCCAGACTATGGCTAGGTTTTTCTAGGTTTCATTAATTGTGTACCTAGAACATAGTAACACCTCTCAATCTCAGACCTGGCTTTTTTAAGCTCAAGAATATTTAATTCTGTTGTATATCTGATTATTGTTTCTCATCCATTTATCCTAGGTTTTTTGAGAACTCTTTATTATTCATATATTTCATCTCTATGTCTTCCATATCATCTTCTACTATTTTCATCTCTCTTCTACTTCTTTGTATTCTGACACTTTTCTCAGATTTGTCTTTCATATTAACAATTTGGCTTTTTTAACTTTTTTTCTCCCCTGAAAGTAATACATGTTCACTGTAGGCAAATTTAGAAAAGCGAAGATAAAAATCACCTATCATCCCAACACTGTTTGTACTTTGTAGGTGCTGTCTTAGACTCCTCAAGAAAGTATGTTTTATATAATACTCGTTTCATAACCAGCTTTTTAAAAAATACACCATTTTATGATGTGCAGATTTTAAATATTCTTTGAAAACGTGACTGTTATTGATTTATGGAATTCTGTTGTCTAAGGAAGTGTTTTTTATACTGCCTCCTGTTTATGTGGAACAGGAACATCTAATGAAAGGATTTTCCACTTGCTATTTGTAGAGGTTTCCTGCTGTTCAGAACAGTCTAAGGGTTGGTATTGATTATACCTTTAACACCCAAATTGGCCAGGCGAGGTGGCTCATGCTTGTAATCCTAGCACTCTGGGAGGCTGAGGCAGGAGGATCGCTTGAGCTCAGGAGTTCAAGACCAGCCTGAGCAAGAGGATAACCCCATCTCTACTACAAATAGAAAAATTAGGCAGGCAGTGTGGCACATGCCTGTAGTCCCAGCAACTCGGGAGGCCGAGACAGGAGGATCGCTTGAGCCCAGGAGTTTGAGGTTGCAGTGAGTTATGATGACGCCACTGTACTCTACCCGGGGCAACAGAGCAAGACACTGTCTCAAAAAAATAAACAAAAAAACACCCAAATCATCATTCTGCCACTAATGTAGGCTTAGGAATGACTTGATTCCAGAATTCTAATGTAGAACAAATTCAAGTAACCGGTACTTTATTAATTCAAATCTAGGATTAACTGATGTTTTCTCCATATAATTTTACTTTCATGAGAAATAAGAAAATAACAAAAAACAAACAAATTGATTTTAGGGATTATATGTTAAAATTTAAATTATATGTAAGGTCTGAAAGTATATCCACATTATATTATCTTTATTGAAAAGTTGATTCTTTTTAAAATTAATCTTTAATTTGGTAAATATGTAAAAGGATATAACAGAAATGGCAGTTCCCTACCTCATATCTCCCTTCCTAGTGTTAACTACTTTTAACTCTCTTAGGTTTTTCTTCTCTGTATTTTAAAATAAGAATAACAGATGGAAAACTCTTAATTTTATCAATTTTATTATAAATTTGGGGTTTTTTTCCCTAGAGTTAAAAATTGCTTTTTATTTTTACTTATTTTCTTTGAACTTAAGTTTAAATCTTTCATCATCCCTTGTCATCTCCAGAATCTGTCAGTTCTATTTTGTTCCCAAAGACCTTTCTGTATTTGATCATTTATCTCAAAAGAACCCATATACTGGCTAACAAATAATTGGTTTGTCAACATGGAATCTACATGGCCAAAATCTGTATTTCTGAAAAGTAACTGCTCCCTCCTGGTTTTCTTTCTCTCCTAAATGGCTTTATGATTTGGAGACTTGAGTATTCCTGCCTTCATATCTGATCTGTTTTTGTTGTTGTTTTTTTTTTTCCCCCCTGTCTTATCAGTTTGACAGAAGAAAAGGTCAGTAATTGAATAAGGTGGTTTCTACCCTTTGGTGAACCCTAAGGTTCTTTTTATTTTTAATATAGCATCTCATTCAAGTCTTATCAGCTACCTTGTGGCTTCTAGGTCCTGTCTTTAGCTTGCCAACACTGCAGCAGATTTCCTATCTAGGCTTGCAAAGCATTCACCTGCTGTCTGAAAGGCATCTGTCTGCAGCTGTCTACTCATTTGCAGAGTAAAAATGGCAGGTTCTTTAACAAATGACAAAAGGTAAAATCTTTCTGGGTTCAAGTTATTACCTCTACCTGCTTTCTATTTAATAACTTTCCACCCAGGGGTTTCCTCCTCTTTCTTACTCTTTATCTCACTGATTTTCTATGAATCCTGTCTTTGCCACTTTATAATTCAAAAAATCAATATAATTCAAAAAATCAACTGTTCATTAAGCAAATGTTTTTTGAGTGTTTACTGTGTGCCAGGCACTCTTCTGGGTGCTGGGGAAACAGAGGTGAACAGCATACTCAATATCCCTGCTCTCCTGGAGCATATATTCTAGGTAGGAAGATAAGCAAAACACATGTAGGAAAGTGCTATGAAAAAATAGAACAGGATGATATGATTAAGAGTGATTGCTGCTGATGTAGATAAAGGAGTTGGGGAAGGCCTTCTTTGAGGAAGTAGCATTTGAGCTGAGAATTGAATGAGCAGAAGTCAGCCATGTGGAAAGAAGAGGGGGGAAAAACAGTCCAGGCCACGGAGAATGGTAGTATGACGACTCTGAGATGGGAAAAGAGCCTGAAGTGAAAGCCTACATGGCTGGACTGTGGAGAGAGACCAGAACCATGCCATGGAGGACCTTGTGGGCCACAATGAGGACTTTGGATTTTATTCTGTGTACAGTGGGAAGCCGTTGGAGGTTCTTAACCAGGGGGGTGGTATGGTCTGATTTACATTTCAAAAGATTACTCTGGGTGGTGTGGAGAATGGGGGCAAATGTGCTCAACAAAATAGAACATATGTTTTTAAAAAAGATTTAATGCCCACTATGGGAAGAGCAAAGTTTCCCTTCATATTTTCCCCCGGGAATGAAATGTAGAGATCATGGAAAGTATTTTTGATAATGGGGCATCATCTTGAACTATTTACCTACTTTCATGCTGACAGCTCCTTATGCTCCCAAGTGGTATCAACATTAGAATACCCCTCTTCTGAAAGGTCTCCATCTTCTAGGATAGAGAAATTTATAAATGCCCATGTCACATTTAGATTATCTGATGTTTCAATTTAGATTTATAAACAAAGTGGACATGGAAGTTCTTTGAAAGTATAATATAAAATACTAGACAGTTATGTGATGGTATTTTTTCATTGCTAATACTCAAGTTATTTAATTGTGTAAATTGCCCTCATTTACATTTTCCATATATTTTAATGCTTCAATTAGATTCCTCCAGAAAAGCTTTGAAAGGGTCTCCTTATTAGCAGTACTTCTTCACTAGAGGACTCCAGTTGGGGCACACAGCCTTGGAGACTCCTTATTATCCTAAGGCTACAATAGAATTATAATTAAAAAGGAGAAACAACTCTTGTTAATTTTTAAATTGATACAGGATCCTATCCTAGTTGTTTTAAGATGTTATTTCTAATTTGGTAATTTTTTCCTAAATGCATCCACTTTTGTATATCATGGTTGGCACAGTAGAAGAAAAAACTGGCAAATAAGAAAAGCTGTCAAGTCCAAGCATAAATTGGTAAAGATTTGTACTTAAGTGTAAGAGGAAGTTTTGATAAAAAAGAATGGGTTTGTTGACTATAAGCTCATCTTGGCCTTCATTTTATGATGTCTGAAAACTAAGGTTTCAAGCTTGAGTGGCTGGAAACACTGATACTGTTGATGAAAGCAGTTAACAGAAAGTGGGGGAAGGGATTAGAGAAGATGATTTCAATTTTGAATATATCAGGTTGGTGAGTGTTAGATATCCAAGTGGAATTATTCACTGAACAGTTGGATAGACAGGATGGAAATTGAGATGAGAGGCCAGAACTGTGTATGTAAACTTCAGTGATAACAAAGGAAATAAGGGAAGGGGAGGCAACCTTCCTCCTCTTCTTGTGGAAGAACCAGAAGGCTTCTGGAAAGTGTTCTTTGTTTTTTATTCAGTAGTCACATGGACCTTAAGGGTACAAATATATGTAATGTGGCTTATATGTATGGGAAAATTGCCTACATTTTCCTTATCCATTAAGAAATAAACAATCAGCTCTTTATTAATAATGTTTATTGGTAGAAGTAACACACAAAATTGACAATAGCTGACATTTATTATTGACTTTAAAAATATTCAGAGAATTCAGTTTTCCTGATCAAATTTGAACTATAAAATTTTTGACCAAGGAAATTTGGATTTGGTAAAGTAAGGCTACAAAAGAAAACTCAAAGTGGCAGAAACTATAATAGATAATAGCTGATACTGAGAAAATTTAATTGTATCAAATCTTTATTGATAAGTGCACATAAAAAAGAAAAAGTCAAAATGGGAAAAATTTAATTACTATATAGAAAATTATTCAAAGAATGAAAGTGATTTAAGGAGTATGTTTAAGTAATTTCCCAATGAAAACTGACCAGTGTTAGCATATTTCTGATTTAAGTGTTTTTATTCCTAAACATGGCATCAAAGCCCATGTGGGGGAATGCGAAAATACTCTCTAATTTACCTTTTACCTTAGGGAGTCTAATTTTAGAAAAGTAGTAAGTGGAAACCAGCTTTCAGGAGCTAGGAGAGACTAGAAATGTGGAAAATGGAAGCCATCATTCAGTATGTTTGATAATAAAAGAAAGACAAATAAATTAGTTTGTCACTAGGAGTTGGGGAAGAACTGGAATAACAGAGTGGTTGTGAAAAGAAATGAGGACTCTGTATCTGAGAAGGCAGAGGAAACATGGACAAGATGCATTACTATTAATAGATGTTTGTACAAGAAAGTTCTACAAGGTGGGATTCGCGGTGTACCTAGGTCAGGTGATTAGCTTTGGAGAAGGGCAGGTAAGCCTAAGGAGAAAGAACATCCGGCATAGCCTCACCTCTTTAAAGTGATGTGATGAAAGTAAAAGATACAGAGGTAGGAGGCTCTAAAAGAGCAGTAGTCTAAAATAGCAGCTGCCGGGACTGTGCCAGGAAAGGATAATAAGACAAATAGTAAAGTGAGCATTTTCAGAGACCCAGTTGGAATTGCATGTAATTATTTACTCCTGGTTCAGGTCTGTGGGCTAGGAGCAAAATTGGAGAGGTGGGAATTTAAGGTTAGGAATTAGTAGATTAAGAGAGTGAATGCTTGTTAATACAGGCACCATTAAAATGACAGTTAAGGAGTCTACAGTGGTAATGAAAAGCCTGTCTCACAGAGCTTCTGTTAGAGCAGATGTAAGATACAGTCTTGCGTCCGTGAAGATATTATATAAAATAAATCAATTTAGGTTAAATACTTTATTTCTTATATATTTTGACCCCTGGTTTCTGCACAGTCCACAGCAGGAGCATCATTATTGGCTAATGCCTCACCTCTGACTCTCATGACATCACCTTTGTCTGTAACAAATCAAAATGTGACTCCTTTTGGGATGCTGGGTGGCCTTGTTCCAGTGACCATGCCCTTCCAGTTTCCCTTGGAGCTACTTGGCTTTGGAACGGACACTGCTGGAGTGACAACCACCTCGGGATCTACCTCAGCCGCTTTCCACCATAGCCTAACTCAGAGTAAGTGGGGCTCTTTATTTAGTTGGCTATCTAGTTTGACAGAACAGGAAATGTCTCGAATATATGCTAATTGAAAGTAGTCTAGTTGGAGTTAATGGGCATTATTGGGTTTTTTTTTTTTTTAAAGAAATGCAGTGTATTTCATCTATATATGATAAGTCAAATTATTGGACTCTGGGGCTTTATTTGCAGTTTTAAAATGAGCCATCTATGCCACATTTGTATCTTAATGAAATTTATAAGAAGTCAAGTTTCTTTTTTGTATATACATATAAGTTAAATATATAAATTTTAAAAAATAAATGGCTCTAGTTTTAGAAAGCCTTTGAAGTCAGGGACTGTGCCTGCGTTAGATAAATCAAATTATTTTCAGTTTTGATCTAAGAGAGCTCAAATCTTAGTTTAAATAAGATAACTAACAAATCTGTTTTCTTCTCAGATTTACTAAAGGGTTTACAGCCAGGAGCTCAGCATGCAGCAACACTTTCCCACTCACCTCTGCCTACACACTTACAACAAACATTTAATGGTAAGAAAACCACCTGTTTCTTCATCTCTTTATCATTAGTGTAGGTTTGTAGATGTGGACTACACTTTCCTGAGATCAGTGTGATTGGAATGACAAAGGTTGGAAAAAGCAAATTTTCATATGACTGAATCCTCATTGGCAACAAATTCCTTTTAAGAGAAAGGAAATAGATAAATGAGATCTTTTGTTACATATGAAAAGAGCCTTTTTGAAGGTGTTTATTATATGGAAATGGTGAATAAAAAGAGGATTCATAAGGTAGTTAACAAAAGTCATGTATAGTAGTGATAATAATTTACATTTATTGAAAGCTTACTAAATGCCAGATAGTCTTGTGACTGCTTGTGTGGGTTAGCTAACTTAATCCTTACAACAAGCCCCTGAATGGTGGATGATGATCCCCATTTTACAGACAGGGAACTGAATCAGAGAGGTAAGCAACTCTCCCAAGATAATATACAAGTAAGTGTTTGATCTGAGATATAAACCCAGGAAGTCTGACTTCATGGACTGTATTCTTAACCATTAAACTTCTGCATCTTAGCAGTGATTAGATATGACCCGAACTGTATGCCTTATGTATTTGCAGGCCATCCAGATCACTCAGAAATCTGACATTAGGGCCAGGCATGGTAGCTCACACCTGTAATCCTAGCACTCTGGGAGACTGAGGCAGGAGGATTTCTTGAGGTCAGAGTTCAAGACCAGCCTGAGCAAGAGTGAGACCCCGTCTCTACTAAAAATAGAAAAAAATTGGCCAGGCATGGTGGAGCGTACCTGTAGTTCCAGCTGCTCAGGAGGCTGAGGCAGAAAGATTGCTTGAGCCCAGGAGTTGGAGGTTGCTGTGAGCTAAGCTGACGCCACGGCACTCTAGCCTGGGGCAACAGAGTGAGACAGAGAAAGAAAATGAAATCTGACATTAGACAGTGGGCACTATACATAACATACTGGCCTCCAGCTTCTTGCTCTCACCAGCAGTTGACCTCCATAGACTGCTGAAACCATTCTGAAGCCCATTTTCAGGATCTGTTGAGCAGAAATAACTGCTTAGCTACCCTCTTGACTTTGAAAGTTGACTAGGGCCTCACTGTTCTTTTTGGCCACTGCGTTAAAAATGATCTTTTGAACCAGTTTACCATTGACCACAATGCAGAGATGGGAGGTGCGTAGCAATATTTAGGCAACAGATGGTTATTAATCCTCTAAAAGACCCAAGTGAACCACATTTGTGTAAAATAGGTAACACAAAGTAGGCACAAATGGTAGTTAGCAATCCTGATCTTCAACTGCTTGACTAGGTTTAAATGCTAAAGGAGAATTGCCCTGTGACTAAAGCAGTTCTTCCACGGGTGTGGACAACTGCTTGGTATAATGAATCCAGCTGAGCATCGTGTGCTCATGGGGCAAATTGACACGAATGTGACCACCTGCAAGGAATTAGATAAGTGGGATCTCATGACTCAAAAAGACCCCAGTAGTTGGTTCTTACATGAAGTATCTTACTATCCTGGTAGCACCACTGTTCCAGAGGAAAAAAGGAAATATGAATGTCAATATTTTCCAAATAATTGAAGCTTAAAAGTTTAAGATTTTTTATTTTAAAAACATGTTAAAGTATAAGCCAATGAACTTGAGAATCAGGCTTGGAATTTTTAATTCCAGAACTGCCAATTTGAGCAAGCTTCTTAACTTTTTTGATTATCACTTCTCTAGCTTGTAAATTGGGGACAATGTTTTTAATAGCTTCTTAAGAGAATTTAATAAAAATACTTGAATTTAATAAAAAATAATTGATTTAAAACTTCTAACATGGTACCAGGTACATAGTAAAAGCTCAATTAATGTTAATTCTCTTAATTTTATTTAGTCTAAAACAAGGGTCAGCAAAATTTTTCTATAAAGGGCCAAATAGTAAATATTTTAGACTTCTCAGGCCATATGGTCTCTGTTACCACTACTCAATTCTGCCTTTGTAGCAAGAAAATAGCCCTAGATGATATGCAAATAATGAGTGTGGCTGAGTTCCAATAAAACTTTATTTACAAAAACAGATGGTAGACCAGATTTGGCCCTTGGGCTATAATTTGCCAAATCATGGTCTAAAGAATCTTACAGTCCAGTTAATATGAGTATTTCATTTTGCTAATTAACCAAAGCTTCCTTGAGCAAAATCCCATTCAGAAAGTGCCTTGCCATCTTACGAATTTATACCTCGGACCAAATCATTTCTCTCTAGAAATGCAGACATGTAATATCTTATTATAAATGGAAAAGCCTTAGATGTTGTCACCAAAGTTATTTTAATAGTATTCTGTTTACACAGCTTTTGAGATAATCATCTTGTTTCATTGATACATCTTTTCTTCAATAGCGGTAGTTTTTTTGTTTTATGTTTTACCAGACTGATTTAGATATCACATGAGTGGACCTGGCAATGTGACTTTTGTGGTCTCTTCCAGCCTTAAGATTCTGTTATTGTAATGCAATAGTTTGTTCCTTTTCACCTGTGTATTTCTACCATTCGTGCCTTTTCCCTCAAAGTAAAGATTTCCTTCCCTGTCTTTTTCTGTCAGGCCTGGGTTATCTTTGCGGCCTCATTTTTCTTGCCAAGGCAATGACCTGTTAGAGACTTTCTCTATATTCTGTTGGCTCTCCAGGTCACTGGGCCCTACTCTTGCCCAGATACCCTCTTTTTCTCTTGTCTTTCCAGTTTTTGTAGGTAATTTAGCTGAGATTTAAATGGAGTAATCGACATTTTTCCCCACAAATGTTTCAACAGCAGTATGTAAAAATAGAAACCATTGTGAGCCCGGCACAGTGGCATGTGCCTATAGCTATAGTCCCAGTTACTCGGGAGGCTGAGGCAAGAGGATCACTTGAGGCCAGGAGTTCCAGGCTGTTGTATGCTATGATCATGTCTGTCAGTGGCCACTGCACTCCAGCCTAGGCAATGTAGCAAGACCCTGTTTCTAAAAAAAAGAAACCGTTGGTCCCAGTAGCAGACTTTCCTGTCACTGCTAGGTCAGGACCAAAACAGAGACTCAGCTGGATGTTTTCCACTGCCAGTGTGCTACATTCATTTACATAAATAATAGGGAATTAATTATCAAATGCTATATCCTGGCAAGAAATTTAATTTCAATTACAAGAAAATGAAATTGACTTTGTCTTCTAAAGAAATTGAAAGATGTGGGAGTCCCTTGAAAAGATGGGAATTGTGTCTTCTGCTTCTTTTATGATCCTCTCTCAGCATTTGACATAATTGGCTAGGAGGTAAATGATAATTACTTGTTGAAATATTATTTAGGACACTGAGAACCAACTGTGAACCACAGTCATTTGAAATAAGAGGATCATTGGTTCTTTTTGCTTTGTTTTTCTTATCTATTTTTTATAACATGCAGACTCATACCCATTTAACATCTCTTTTTCTCAGATGGAGGCCAAAGTAAAGGGGACACTAAATTACCACGGAAATCTCAGTGACTTCCCAGCAAGCAAAGGAGATGAAACATTTGGTTGGCTGGTGGAATCTACCTGATGGGAAAGTACTTATGTGGTCATAGGGCTGCTGTTTCTGTCGATGTTTACATTCTCTCGTCCCAAGCACTGTGGTGAGGAGGAAAAAGAAAAGAAAACATTACTTGAGCAAAGCCAGGTGCAGGAGGAAAAAATGCTTTTGTGCAAAGTTAGTGACCTTTGGTCTCTTCTAAAGAAAGACAAAAGTTACCATATTAACTGACTTGAGAGAGACTCAGTTGTCAAACCCACAGATGTACAAATTTGATTTTTCCCGGGGGAGAAAGAAGGAAGTCCAGAGGATTTGGGTAAACTCCATCCATCCTGGGGGTTGGATCTGAACACTTGTAGACATAAGTACATAATAAAAGGCACTGTATCTGGGATTAGGCTAGTTTGTCAGGAGTAATGATCATGTCTACGTGCGTGGACTATGTAGAAATTTGCCACAAAAAAATTTGATGGCTCTGTCTGATATAGATAGTAGCTGAAGAAATATTGTACCCTCAAAAATCCTGAGCAAACTTGAATCTTCTCCAGTGTATAGCAACTCCCCATGTAAATCAGTGGACTAAAGATGTGTCAGGAAAGTTATTTTAGCACAGTGATATGTATTATTAAATCATCTAGATTTTTCAAAGTCAGGAAGTTGAGCCTGTTGCTCTTAACAAACGAAACCTAGATGTCACCTTTTTGTAAAAGGGTCAATTTCATCTTCCATTCAGAAGCAGGTACTTAACTCTTCTTCAGGTCATTTGTGCATCTGGTATTGACTGGTTATTCTTATTTCCATTCTTGATGTTAAAATGTGATGGTGTTCAGATTTTTTTCTTAAGAAATGGGGATGTTTGATATAGAGCTGCTCCTTTGTTGCTCTTAGCACTTGCAGCAACATCAACTGTAAGTTTCCCCCCAAATGCACTTCACTTCACAGCTTCTTCTGTTCTTTTAACTAGTGGTACTTCAGGTGATTATGAACTATTGATATAAACAGATAGAAGTATATGCTTTGTTTCTTCATTGGACATTCAAATGGCATGAATATGGCTTTTGAATTTTTAAGATGGTATTTTAAAGGGAGGAATTACATTAGGGTAACAATCACAATGTATTTCTACTCCCTATATCCAGTGTAGTGGAATTGTTTGGAGCATTTGGGATTCTAAAGCTTTACTGGTATTATATTTAGTCAGATTATTGATATGTGAGCAAACTTACAGATGATAAGGCTCCTTAGTTATTACAGCTTCCTTATGCAAATAGCATATTCAACAAAGGATGTTAAGGGAAAAATTTATGGTTCTCTTTGGATACATTTTATTAGATTTTTTTTTTTTTTTTTTTTAAGCTTCTGAATGTTTTCTAACTATATCCAAGAATGGTGTAAGCTTGGTCCATTTATAATGGCAAACTAACTTAAAAACATTAGACTGATAGTAGCAAGATTTCTTGCATATGTTTTTATTACACATTATACTGTTAAGTTTATTCAAATAAGAGTATTAACCAGGCCCTTTTTTCCTTTTATAAACAAAAGTCCCCAATAGCCTACAGAACTGTGAATAAATAACCACAGATCTGTTCAGATCTGTATGCCTATATTTTGACTTCAAAGTCACATTGGCTTGCTTCATAGCGAAAAAGTTAATGAATAACTGAAAACTTTAGTTCCAAGAACTTGTTACAGTAAGGGGAAAGAATTATTTCAAAGGAATCATTGATTTAATTTCTTGACTCTGAGAATTTATTTAACAACAGAAGAAATGGGGATGTTGTATGAAGCCCTATAGATATTTTGGAAGGATGCTGTGATGTCACGTAGGGGTTTGACTTGAATTTAGTATGTTTGGTTAAAAGTTTGCTTGGTTTTAATTAGGGAAACTTACCCAATTCTTGATTTATCCCAATGTAGTGGACCCCTTGTGTTTATCAAATTTGACTTTGCCAATACTATCTGGGTAAGCGATGGGAGTTTTCCTTTGGGAAGGTAGCCTTTATTTTATTTCTAATACCAGGAGAGAAGTCAAAGTGCATATTAATCTCTCTTCCTACTGATAATTATATGTGTATTTGTGTGTGTGTGTGTGTATATATGTGTGTGTGTAACACACACATATTCATATAAATTACTAATTTGAGTCAAAAAATAATTTTAATTTCTTAAATCCATCAATTCCAAATCATGCCATATGAGAAATCCCTGATGAGTCTTTGCCATCATTAGAAAAGAACAGAATAATTAGTTATTTCCTCCTGTGTCATTTTATACTAACCAGTAAAAATATCTGAATGCCCTTGGCTCTAAAAATATAATATTGCAATTATATTCTATTCTCTTCAGTCTTGAGTGTTTGAGGACTCCTGTTAGGTCCCCACCTTAAACCCCCTCCCCCATTGTCACTGACCGCTCACATCCGTTTCAATCAAGACCTCCCCTTCCTTTTATGTTGTACAAATGAGTCAAACATACTTGTATTCCTTCATAGATAAAGTATGATCAGAGAGTTTCTACATGTAAATACCTACATTTCTTTTCTAGATCATAACATTGAAAATGGTGTCCATACTTTGTGGTCACATATCTTTACAGTTTTTATTACTAAAAAAACAAACATAAATTGGTTATTTTTTAACACAGAGACTTGTGACTCATACCGTATTTTTGCACTTAAAAATCAAATTATGTTATTTTTAAAATGGTGAGTAATTGGAAAGGCTATCTATAGAACAATATGTATTTCTAAAGAGCATTAGCAACATCCAGATGCAAAAATAATCAGCACACATAATTATGTCCCACTCAGTGGGATTCTTGATTCAGGAAGATTAAGCTGTTTGTTTTCAACTGTCTTATATTTTAAATGGCCTTCACTGATATATAAGCTGTTACTGTACATACAATTTAATCCTCAGTATTCACAAGCAATAATGGTGGTCAGCAAAGTTGTCCTCAGGGACAGCAGTGCTGAGCCTCAGTTGGAGACTGGGAGCAAAGTGTCAAGCTCGTTCAGAGCCTCCAGAATAAATGCAAGCAATAATTTCCATTATAAGTCAATTATAATTCTTTCTCATATGCTTCTGAGATCAGATGGTAAACAAAGTCATCATTTTTAAAACAGCCTGAAAAAAAAGGTTTTGGGAAAACAAGTGAGGTTAATCTGTAGTCACAAAGTCCTGATTTTTTGAGGCGATCAGAGTTTTGTGTTAGTGCATTATTTCATGACCACCACCCCTTTGATGGATGTTGTTAGCCCAAATTACATTTTTTTATATTATAGATATTGAGTAAGGTTTATTGGATCACCAAGGTAAGGGGAAGAACCGGGCACATACATGTTTGGATACTGTGGGTTTGACACCTGTTTGAAAACAACTCATTGGAAATGATTTATAACCCAGGATATTTTTTTCCCAAAGCAGATCTAAATTGTTTACTACCCAGGGTTGGAAAGGGCAGGCACCTCTAGTCTTTCTCCTCTGGTGGCCCTCTCCCACTCCTCTTTCCGCCTCTACTTGGTTAAAGACATTTTCTGAAATGAAAATTCTACTGTTATTCAAACTGCCATTGATTATGAGAGCTCTGTGTCCTTTGGGATCATCTCTTAGAACTCCAGTTATCTATCATATTTGCTGCTACGTTTGTAAGATGAACTTCGCCTGTATTGGTTGACTTTAATTTACAATTCTTTATTTCTGGGAGATTTTGTCCTATAATTTGACCCATGTATAGAATTAGGAAACTTTATTTTAGGAGTGTACCATAAAAGCACACTGGTCCCTATATTGTTTTTATCATTTAGGTTTTGAATTTGTTTGCATTTTTGTTTGTTGGTTTTTGTTTTGTTTTGTTTTTGAAGTTGGAAATGGAATGAGAAAACTCTATAATCAGGCCAAACTTGAGAACTTTCCCTGTGCTTCAGCACTATAATTTCTGCTGACCTAATGTTCTCAAAAAAGGCACTTTTACTCTATTGTGCATGTATGATTGTTTTTTGTTTTTTTCTTTTGGGGGGCTTTTGTTTTTGTAATAATGAAGCAGAAGTAAAGTGCAGTAGTAGATAAATGACTGATCACAAACATATTATGCAATTTTATTTTATAAAGTTTTAAGGGGAAAAGTTTAACTCTTTGTAAATCATTTCTTAGCTCTCGTAAAATGCTTATATTACTCCTCTAAAACATGCTCAGTTCAGGCCTTTGTCTTTGTTAAGTGCCTTTTTTCTTTCTTTTTTCCCCTCTTTTGAAACTGTTCTCAGATATCTTAAAGTACAGGCTAAGGCAGGGGATTCAAGAGGAAGAATCTCAAACTTGCCAATACCGTGTCATGCTGTCACCACCCTCTTCCTTTTCCTTATATGGATATATATGTAAGATCCGTGCATCCATACATACAAAACTAGTAGCTGCTGTACCATTGCATCCTTTTCGAACACCCCCCTTTCAGTGTTTGCAAAACTTCTGCCTTGTTAATTCCATTGCTTTTAGTTGATTAAAATGGGAGGATTGGGAAATTGTCTTTTCACAAGATGCCATCTTCCCCTTTTGAATATCTATTTGTAAACGTTAACAACAACAACAAAAATATATATACATAATAAGTCGGTTATTACAAGTAAAATGAAGGCAGTGGACCCATTGACTGTTCCTGGATGTAACCCGTGCTCTGTGCCCTGCAAACTTGGCATGAGCAATATTGGAGACAGCATTGGAATAACAAGTATCCTGCGGGTCAGATTGGTAAGGTACACTATGGCAAGTGAGACTAAACACATGGGAGGGCTGGTGTCACAACTATGGTATGGTATCTGAGTAAGTTTTGAAGGAAGGTAGCAACATTGTCAACATCAAAAATGTATCATATTTTCTTCCAGGAAATGATTTTTTAAGAAATCATATAGCTGCATATCTATTAAAAGGTTAATAAACTTAGAAGTAGAAAGACTTCAGATACTGAGGAAAACACACATATAATCTATAGCATTCTTGAGAGATCTTCAGTTTTCTTTTTATTTGCCAGATAATTACATTTGGCTTAATCTGATTTTATGGTTATTTAGATTTTTCCCTTGAGCAAAATAACATAATCTTCAGTATCTAAGATTCATCTGTTCTTGTTGAAAACAAATAGATGTGACATGTTAAGGGAGATTAAGCTGAACCATCCCTCATACCCAGTACAAATATATCTAATAAATGCCCCCTTTTAAATAAATTCTAATTGGAAAGAAGAGACTGGTGGCTAAAAAGGAGAAAGCAAAGGCTCTTGGTAATGTTACCTGATAGCAAAACTACTGTCAGGTGGCCAGAGTTCAGTTGCAGATATTACTCTTGAATTCCTATGTCTAGGGGGGATATCATTTAACCTTCGTGCCTCAGATTACCCATTAGACAATTGGGTATAATAATATTCACCTACCTCCCAGGGATATCAGAGACTTTACTATTTCAAAAATATTTTGCGTTTTTCTAAAATGTCCTATATAAGTAAAAATAGTATTATCATCTTCTTGCAGAGGCTAAAAAAATGTTTTCCTTGTGATGAGTATAAAATACCTTATGATTTTTAAGTTCTAAAAAAAAAATCACTGGAATTCTAATTTAGATACATATTTGTTATTTAAACATATTATATATGTGATGGGATAAAATGGTTAGTTTCAGGTTAACAAGGGGGGAAATGACGCTGTTTCTTAATTATAAGTAGATTTTTTTAGCCTTTTATGGTGTTATTACTTGTGTGATTTTTGCCAAGGTTGTGGAGCTAAAGTTAGATAAAGTTTGGATGCTTGGTTATTGGAGTTGATAAATGATCCTGAAAGTTTTAACTGCCTCACTTTTCCATCTTCTCGATCTAATTTCCTTATATTACTTGTTTGGTGACAGATAGCTAAGCTTTTCACTTTCTAAGAATGAATGGGAGTCTCCTCGTTCTTGTAAATCAGAGACTTCGTACTATTCCTATAACTAGGTGTATCCAGCTCTGCACTGAAGGGGCAAACACTACACACAGCCAGCTGGACACTGGTTAGCCAGTCTACCTTTGTAATTGATGCTTCTTCAACTCATGAAAGAGGTGGAGCCATCAGCTGCTCAGGTTGTAGGAAAATGGGAGAGGGAAGGCAGGATTCACTTCCTAGGTGGGGGTAGAAGGAAACATGTTTTCCCCAATTCCCAGGAGGATAAGAAGATCATCTTATCTCACCTTCCATCCCTGCATATTAAGTATTACTATGGAGAATTTTTCTTTTATTATTTGAAACAACAGGAAAAAATGGATGCTGCATTTTTTGGATACTAAATGCTGAGCAACATTTGTTGGAGTGCTTATGTGGATTTAAATTGTAGAACATATTCAGGGTCAGAAAAATGAGAACATGGGGGATGAGGAACAAATTTCATCTAGCTCAAGTGAGTTAGGAGAAATTACCAAGCCCGAGCAGACAAATCATGTGGGTTAATTCCCAGAATTGGATAAGGCCCAGTTAATCCCCAGTAAGATGATGTGTTGGTTTTTTCAATCACTTTTTGGATTTTTGTTGCTTTTTCCAGATAAGGCCTTAGAAGCCTCTAAATAGCAGCTATGCAGATAAATATACTCCTTATTTTCCACATTTTCCTCTTTTTCCATTCTCAAATAACAAATGTCAAGACCCAAAGAAGCAAGGCATAAGGGTTTTGTTGAATGTGTGTTTGTTCCTCTAGGGAAAATTGACAGAAGCATAAAATAGAGATAAAATGTTAACTCTATATTCAAAAACTAACTACAGACCCTTTCACTGGCGCAAAACTGTAGTTAGTATCATGGAATGTCTGTGGATTGTTATGATAAAATCATCCCAGTGTTCAATTCTGAGAAAGTTTTAGATTCTGTGACACAGTGTTCAGGTTTATGGAGCTGAACAGGTGGTCAAACTCTAATTAAAAATAGCTTTGAATATTAACGTTGAATTCTTTCTTCATTTCCTTTAGTCTGCATCTTCTTTTAGTCTGAACTCTTAAGTTAACCATTTCGTCAACCAGTTGCTACACTAGGTTATAAGTTGTGTGTTGTTAGAATGGGGAGGGAAGGTTAAACTGTCTCTTACATCCTCTTCTCACTCACTTTGGCGATCTAGCCTGTATCCTCATCGAACTCCAAAGTAAAGCCTATTTCAGGAGTCTGTTACATCCTAGCAGAAGACTCAGGCAGGGATGCTCTTAGGATTTTATTCAGACTGCCTTTGAATAGCTTGATATTAAATTACATTTTTCTCATAGCCTCCCAAAGTACCATTTGTTTGAAAGTAGCTATTTGTGATCTTTATTTTTAATTTCCTCATATTGTAATACTTCTGCTTCTCAGTCTGTCCTACATATTTCCATTTCATAGTGGGTTAGTACTTAAGCTTTGGACACTTTTCCAAACTGTTACCCAAACAGGTCAAGAATGCTTTTCAAAAATCTCATTAGTATAATTTGGGTCCGTATGTCCAGGACTTAGAGTCATCAGTGGTTATCACCGGTGACTGGATTTTTTTCTCCTCTTCTCCTTTGTATTAAAAAGTAGATTTTGCTACTACATTTCATGCCTTCCCCCTTGATGCTTTTCAAAGTTATTCGAAAGAAATGCAGACCTTTGTTAGGGATTCTGATTTCTCATAATCGTCTGCCTTATTTTCATACTTCCCCTGGAATACGCCTACTTTTGCAAATAGGCCGTATGAATCCTTAGTACCACTTTTATGTTTGTTTCTCAGAAAACTCTCTCTCTTCGTTATTTGCTCGCATTTTGCTAATGATAATATGGTTACATTATCTTAAATCTGTGTTTTAAGATTTTATAATAGAGCACTAACGGAAACCTAATTGAAATATAAACAAGATGACTGTTACCCGGGATAACTTGGAAATACTTCTGTTTTTAAAGTTAACAGCTCCATCTAGCCTCAAAGGCCATTTAGGAGTCGACATCAACTAAGACCAGCCAGTGGACATGTTTTTGTATATTACAATCTACCCTTAAATTGTCAAATCTTAGCTATCTTGTATTTTCTATCCTTGCAGCCATAAACTTTCTTCCTTTTTTGCTTATCTCTGCTGTTTGCAGGGATACTGTCCCCTCTGTCAGAAAATTGGGGTTTCTTTACCATACCTGCAAGATTACCAAGGTTTGTCCCAATATTGTTTAAGAGGCATTAAAAGAAAGCAAAGTTATTCTCAGTTGACAAAGGTATTACTGTTTTTAATAGTTTGAAAGTTTGCCAACTTTGGCTGCTTTTTTTTTTTAAGTCTTGGCTATGCCTATGTAATTAATTACATATACCTTCTGAGACATTCAGATAATCATGGGGCCCTTCCACTGTTGTAGGTTTCGAGCCTACAAATAATTTCCTTTGATCCATGGCCAGCCTCCAGAGAAAAGATTCAAGCTTTGCATTGTCCTTTTATTGGCTGTCATTGAAAAATTTTTTATTTTAGAAAGTATCAAAAATACCAAATTGTTCCTTAAGGAGAATATGTAAATCTGGGGCTTTCTCTTGCATTTCACTTGCTGAACACTATCAAACTTAGAAGAAAATAAATCTCTGGCTGGTGAAAATTTCGTGGCCCAAATAATACAAAAAAGTCTACCAAGGTAATTAAGTGATGAGTGTTTTCTGTCTTTTATTACAAGCAAGAAAGTTTATTTGCAGTTGTAAAAATCATTATGAAACTGCAGACCTATTTGCTGTCACTGATTGGAAATAATTATTCTGATTTTTAGTCTGGGTAAAGCACATATTTCCAACACTTATGGTATGAATTTTGACAAGGGAAAGACTTTTATTTGGTAGCAGAAGGAAAAACAGGACTTATTTATACAGTGAATGTTCACTCTCCAGAGGAACTTCCCTCCAGTTACACATCTTCCTCTTAGGTTAGCCGCCTCCACGCTTGATGTAGATGCCAACATGTTTCGAAACTAGTCTTGAAGGAGCCCAAACAATTTATGATCCTCTAGGTAAAAGGCACGAATCACTGTATCGCATTTGCTTATAGGGAGGTGTTTTTGCTAACTTGAAGGGATATACTGTATTTCAAATAAGTGTGTGACTTAATATTTTGGGAGTTTTTTTCCCCTCCTTTAAAAACTGGACCTGAAC